AATTGTTAATGATTTTAAAGTTTCAGGGGATTTTTAAGGATAATTTTAATTGATCGGCCTGTTTAAATATTTCTTTTTAATTCGGCTTTTAATTATTGTATTTGTATTGTAGTTTTTATGAGGCTGTTAGCCGCCCTGAGTCCCATGAGGAGAAGGGCGGGGTATAAATTAAATTATAAATAAATAAATAAATAAATAACCTAGTGATTGGAACTTATTTTCCACTTACAGAGGGTTGTATTTAGAAGAAGAATTAAAGAAGGAGGCTAAGATGGTAGAAGTAAGAACCCAGTCTAAGGCAAAGAAAAAGCAGGAAGGGAAGGAATATAGGATTCTTCCTCGCCATAGTGATTTAGTAAGAGAAATGAGATGCCCTACAAAGGGGAAAGCTTTACCAAAAGCTGACAGACTTAGGGGTGAACACACTTAAATGGAAAATTCACTTAGGCCTCTTGCAAAAGAAAGACTCAACATTAAAACATTGTTGGTTAGCAGCAGAAAAAGAGGGAAACAAGGACACAATATCCAAATTCCAAGAAAAAATCAGGGTTGCTGTACTGAATAGGGCTTCATTCCTATATGAAGGAATACAGTGAAAAAAAATTGAAGCTCAGGCAAGTCAGGGATTCCTGTTTGCACAGAATAGCAAACCCTTATTGTATTATTCTGGCTTGATTTACTTCTTCCTATTCACAGCAGCCTCAAAATAGAAACAATCATTGGTGCCACTTGCCCACAAGTTCATCATCCCTGATAGCCAAAAGACAGCACTGGACCCATATAACTGTTTATTAATAAACAATAGGAACATACAGTGACTTTTTAATATAGAAAATACACCTACCCCAGCACACTCTTTCCCCAGAAAAATCCATAAGTGTCCCAATTGGCGGGCAACACCTACTACTCGCTACCCACTTTGATTTCAGATGATAGAGCCACATCTTGAAGCAGCCAATTCTTAATGACAATTGCATTCCTTTTTTGCCAATCAAAATGCAAAAAATTGATTGATTCCCTGCATATTCTTATTTTCTTCAGGAGCAATTTTATAATTCTTTATTATGCCTCAGTTCAACCATCTTTTCTTTAAAGAAGGAGAGAAACGTATGTGTACCTGCAGGTATTAATAAACTCCAACCTCCATTAACCCCAGTGATCACAGTCAATAGTCACAGAACAGAAACAACATCTGCAATCTAACAGGCTTTAGAAGATCCAAACAACCCACCCTGGTTCAAAAGCCCCCAATATTTTAATCTCAGCCAAGAACATAGAGCTCCAAACCCTTTTGCAATTTGCCTTTTCTACCAATACTTAATTCTCATTGAAATCAATATTTTATTTTGACCAACTTAATTTTATTTTTGGCCAACTTAATCTGTTCTAATCAATTCTCTGGGTATTTCTACTGAATTATCACCTCTGCTATTATCTAAACATTTCGTTCTTGAAGTCATTATAAGTTCAGGTTTTATGGGTTTGTGAAATTACAATTCTTCCCTCCTCACACCTTATTATGCACATGAACAGAGATACCCTATATCACCAAACTCAACATTATTCTTTTCTCTTAAGGAGAGCCTTACAGAAAATGTCAGACATACTTTGCCTTTTTTGGTGAGGATCTGTTTATAGTGGAGCCAGCCCTCTTTCCTCACATCACTGAAAGTAACATCCGAAAGATCAGAGGTGGAATGCCTCTTTGAACGTGTGTCTTCAGAGGTACCCAAGCTATCCAAAGACTGTTAGAAGAGAGGAAAACACAGTTCAATAAATATCATCAGTGGATTAAAAGAAATATTGAAAGAAAAGGTTGAATATAGAGAAGGATGTTGCTGTGATTAAATAGAAGAATGGAACAGCTGTCCTAACCAAGCAGTATGTTGTCTGATTGGAAAAACAATATGCTTACTTTGGAGAAGGGGAAAAGAAGAAAAGATACACTGACTGCTAGTAAGTCAGGGTTGAAAATAGTGATTAGATCAAAGTTGTGCAGTTAGATATATACAGTAACTGAAACCAAGTCTCTCTGACATATATACTCTCTTCAATAATCTTCCTACCACATGACATTTGCTTTCGTTCCAAGTATAGATGGAGAAGGAAAAAGAAAAATATGTATATGGACAGCAGGACTTGTGAATTATTCTGGCAATTGTCTGACCACTGACTCAAATCTAAATCAACCAAAATGCTGCCATCTTCCTAAAGCTAATTCAATTTCATAGAATTGTTCCCCCACAACAAAACCACAAGCCAGTGTTACCCAATAAAACCCAATTCCATCTTATTAACTCCTTTTCAGTGGTGAATCCATGTATCTTTCAACATGCAACATGCCAGTATGGAAAAGTAATTACCTCCACTGTTACTGGAGGGACCATATTTAGCTACAATAAAACATATAATTGGTAATCAGTCTCTCATATTTCTGCAAAGAAATTTTGGCCCATTCCTCAATGGTGAATTGCTTGAAAGTATTTTGGAATGAACCTCTTGTTTCAGGTCCAGCCATAATATTTGGATGAGTTTTACTTCCAGATTTTGATTTGATCATTCCAAAACAGTGAATATGTTTTTCTTATGGACTTCCTTATATGCTGAGATTATTGCCTTGTTGCACATAAGCCACTTGCACATCAGTTTCAGCTGACAAATAAGCTGAAACTCTCCTGTAGTTTTTCTGACACAAAGCAAAACCCATGTTTCTTTCAGTGATGGTAAATCATCCACTCTGGGACAGGGAAGGACTCACAGTCATAATACTGTCATTTCTTGACAAGTATATGATTCTTACTGTGGAATTCAGTGATAGGTTCTCTCAGATACAACAACACCTGTATATCCTGAAAAGTTTTATTTTTTACTCATCAGTCAATGGTGTATTCACTAAGGTGTCTGGAGAGTCATCCAGGTATTCTTTAGCAAACTCTGGAACAAGTACCAATGTTCTTCTTACTGTCATGAATCCTATTTTGTCCATTTTTATCCATGCTACATTCGTGTTTCTCACATCTCCATGATTTTCTGGTGGTGGTAAATCCCTAGATATTATCCTGGGGTACCTTGTGATGCATAATGTTATGCCGCACTCAGGTAATTTTTATAGAAAAACCATTCTTGGGAAAAGCTACTACTGTGTCAAGTCTTCTGCAATTCAAATCTATGTTTCTAACTGTGGATTGCTGAAGCTGTAAAAATGATCTTTTTAATTTTTAATTTTTTATGGAGGTCTTTAGTAATTTATTTTAAGTAGGGCATGATATGCCTCTAGAATCTGTATGGCAAAAAAATTCATTATGATGATGGGATTTAGATAAGTCATCTAGATTAGCTGTGATAGTTTAATACAGCACTCAGTAGATCCTAGTTTTCCATTTAATTGAATTGATTGGGCCGATGACCTTTTCATACTGGCACATTTTATGTTGTATAACATTGTTTATAAAATAAATGAAATCAATATCAAATTTTGATAGTATATACCCAAACTCCTTTTATATACAGAATCAGTGGAATCTATTTTGCTATTCATTGGCAAAAACATGCAAAAAATAATAAGTATCAATTAATGTTTCACAGAAATATTAAGGGTAAATTCTCTCCCCAACACAATAATATGCCTCTGCATTTTCCAGTTATAACATCTGCAGCCTATGGAGGTCTCAATAATAATAAAATGTGCCCCTTAGCCAGAAAAAAACCCTGATCTTCATAAATCCGTATACAAGAAATTGCAAAGATTGCTTTTGAGTGTGATGTCAGTAAATTTTTAAATCTTTATTTAGATTTCTCCAAATTACAGGGAAAAAAGGAAACCAAATCTACCCATTCACATTTATTTAAAGAGAGAACCACAAATACTCACCCCATCAGTAAAGAAACTTCTTAACATACGTAGGCTAGGCACACGGCTTGGCAACCTCCTGCAGATAGAGCATATATATGGTTACCATAAACAATACAAATTAAAAAGAGAACTAGCTAGTTGTACTCACTGAATAGGACCCTTTCAATGGGCACCCCTCATTTTTTAGAGTATGAAGTTTTAGTCAATTCAGCGAGATGTACCTAATGAAACAGGTACTAGTTCTTATAACTAATACAATGATAGTAGTATTAACACTATCAAAATCAATCCCAAATCTGCATGTGGAAACCATAGACAATCATATGTCTTAGAGAAAAGTTTCAGCATTAACAATTCCCTATAGATCGTATATACATAATTACATGTGTGAGGAGGACTGTTTAATTGGCATTTTTGGTTAAAATAACTGATGCAGGTTTTTTTAAAAGTGCTATTTACTGAACCCAAATATCTAATTCAATATCAAAATATCTTAATATTGTCATATGTTTACTTTTCACCTATTGACTTACACAACTCTTAAGATTATTTTTGCTCTAAAAACCAAAGACTGAAAGCAGGAAATAGCTACTTTAGAGAGCTGATACTTACAGCTTCAGCTCTGCTTAAGAGGTTTTGCAATTTTTTAAAAACTGCTCTGAAAACTTATTTGCCAGGAGACAAAGCAAATGTAAACTTCAAGGGAAACAAAACTGTACTGCAGAATTAGTCTGCCTCCCATTTTATGTAGCTGCTCTTCATTAATGCCAGAAAGAATGAACGAAGTACTAGACCCACCTTAAAAGTTTTCCCTCATCCCGAAATGTGTTCAGACCATCATCACATGACTTGGAGCGTTCTGTGGTTATGGCTAAGAGGTAGGAAGATCGACGGCTGGCTTTGATATTGCCTGTGACAAGTACACAGACAAAGGTTGGCAAGAAAAAGCAAAGACAAAACAGCACAGAAGGGCCAAAAAAGGTCATCACATTCAAGAACCTGGATCCACAAAGAAAATGTACTAAAGTAGATGGGAACATTATACAGAGAGAACAATCCCTTTCTGAGTTCAAACACAGCCACCTCAGATAATTCTGAGCATGAAGAACTCTCATCCCACTGAGTTATCTGGTAATCTCCTCTAACTTCTATATCCTACCTAAGTCAATTTCTCTTGTTCAGGGAAAATGTAAAGAAAATATTGCCCTGAGCTTCTACAGGGCAATACACAGACAATATAATAAAAGCAATTTTTTTCAGTCAAAAATGCAACTTAGCATACAGTTGTTACAAGAAGGGGTAACCATGAAAAAAAATACTCATAAATATGATTCTGTAAAAACTGGGAGGCTCAGCCTAATCTGCTTGGAGGCAAATAAGAGACGCATATTTTAAAGCACCAAGCACTAATTTAGAACGTCAAGGAAATGCCTATCATTTTTTGGCAAGAGTGAATTGAATCCTCTCCCATTAGTATATCTCACAGCAGAGTATCTGTCAATAGTGGTTGCCAGAAATTTGTCTAAAATAACATTATCCTCAGGTTTAGTGCTCTGATGCTCATGCTTATGGAGAAAACTGTAGGTGTGCCCTTACAGACAACATTAAGATCAAGGAGCTGAAATCTGAATGTAGACTACCCACAAATTACTGTAATAAATAAATCACCCAGGAGGTCTATCTATCAAAGATGTAGAGTCAGATTTTGCTTCTTTTCAGTTTGGTCATGATTATTCTCTTTATCAGCAAGACCTCTATGAAATCCATTGACTTCCATCCCTTCTGCATCTCTTGATCTATGTTCTTTATCAGAACTTGAAGAAATACTTCAAATTGGCCTTTTGTTCTTTTGTCTGATATCTTACAGAAGGAAGTTAAACAGATTATGTTCGCAAGAAATGCAAATACCTTGTCCTTCTTCCCTACACTTCCAAGTCTTTCACTGGTAATCCTTCCTCTTGTACCTTTAATGTACATCTATTACTGAATGAATGCATGTAGGCCACAATAAATAATTTTATGTCAGTTCTTAGTACACATCTCACATCTAGGAAGAGAGAGAATATGGTTCTTCTTTAAATTTCTGGTAACTCTGAGATATATTTCTTGGGATTCAAGAACCAAATTTAACTTGAAGAGCCTCTGTATCTTTATAGCCCTAAGAATACACTTTGGAAATATAAAAAAAGTTAATGTGACCTACTATCAGAATGATCTACCTTTTATATCTTCATAAGTGTTCATGTGCATATGTGCATGCATGCACATATGAACAGCCACCCACATTCATCACTGAATAATTCAGGCTTGTGGAAGCTTTTAATTTCATTCTACAGCTCCTTATAATGCTCTCATAGCACAGAATTTAAGAATGACTACCTTAGATATAGTCATAGTTTAATAATAACTGATTTATAAGTCTAAAGCTTAAGGCTGATGGTTTTCTAAATTTCCTTCTCCATCTAGCTGCCTCTTTATGATTCAGTTTCAGTGGAATGTGTTGTAAACATGCTATCATTTTTTTCCTTTTTACATAAGTCACTTCAAGGAGAAATTCTTATGCAAATTCTTCTAGAACAATATAGAATAAATCATGTATTTCTCTAATTTGAATAAAATTGCAACTCTCCTAATTATAAGTAAAATTTATCATAATGGCCCAGAATAGGATAGGAAAAGAACAACAACATCTTTTTCCCCACACAAACAATAAGGGTACTAGTTGTAGCAAGCTACTTACTTATTCCTTGCCCTAGCATTCATTAACAAAAGATATTTTCAAAAAAAATGTGCATACTCTGAGACTGAGTTCCCAGTTTCTCAGATGTTGCTTTTAATTTATGCAACAACCTGGTAACTACTAGCAATGAAAAATTGCATATAAGTAAATGAGAGAAAGATGGTGAGAAGGGATTGGATCTCCCTAAGAACTAGCATAATTTTGTTACATAATTTCAAGAGTTTCGCCATTCTTTCGCTTTTTCCCCCACTAATGTTAGCTAAAGTAGGTTGATACTCTGAGCTAAAGGTAGTGCTGTCAGACTGAGCTGAAGAAATCTGGATATGTAATAGATAGCAGCAATGCTGTACAAAAAGGCTATCTATTTGCTGTCGTCTTGTAGTTTTCTGGATGTTTGCAAGCCAATTTGCGATCCAGATTTGAATAGCTCAAGTTCAAGAAGGCAATGTTGGCTAAGTACTTACTGCAATCCTGGGAATAATGGCGGTTCATGGCAAAGGTAAAAGTAGGTGAAGAAGGGCTAGCAGAGAGCACTGGGGCAGAATTCATGGCACTGGAAACCACAGAGGAAGCAGGGATGTGCTTTGCCTTCAGATCAATGCTGGGGCTTGTCGGTTCATCTGAAACAGAACAACCATAAAATGATGGATTATATAAAATGCATTTATATACATTTATTATATTATATATTTTATATGTGTCCCATGACAATTTCTCTTCACTCAATGTGGCCCAGGCAAGCCAACAGGTAGGACACGCCTGCTTTAGATGGTTTTCTCCTATCCAAACTCTAACAATCTCCAGAAAATGAAGCAAGATTTCCACAGCAACTCTGGACCTGAGATGTTGATATATAATTGAAAAACATCAATATAGTCATGGTACTTCATTCCAAATCTCTGGCTGAAGTCTTATAATCATGTCCATTCACTATGGGTTACTACTTGTACAGTAAAAGATGGGGTAAAAGACTATCCCCTTTAGCTACCACAAAGAATGGTGGCACCCAGTTCCCAAGGTGTTCAAAGTACAGCATGGAAGAGTACAGAATGCCCTCATCAGAGGAAGCCTTTTCCCAAATTCCCACAAAAACATGGAATCATTTCTAAATGGTACAGCCCATGTCTGCAGATGTATAGGAAAGGGTGACTAAGCAAAGATACATGCACTGAAAAAGAAATGGTTGTGGCATGGTAGATCAGAAATCAAGGTAGAGAAGAAAATAATATACAGCTTATCCAAATTGTAGCCTCCTCATTGTATCAAGCCAAGTGACCCCTGTATCAGTTTCACTATCACCCTTTTAATAAAGTAAGATTCCCTTCTCTTACTCTCTGTATAGAGGGAGAATGAATAATCTTTCATTGGATATAAACTGTACATATACAGTATTTATTGGGGGGAAGCTAATGTGCTGATTGTTTGGAAAAATGGATGCAAGCTCTCCAATTTCAGTTCACCATTTCAAAATTGCCTCCGTGAATCACTTATAGACATGTGCCTAAAATGTAAATAAGATAGGGAAAACATGCAAGAATGGCTATTTGAATTCTTCTCCAGCAATGCACATAGGACGTGTCAATACTTTTTTCTTATGTTATATGTTGTGCTTTTGTAAGTTTCTCCTTTTCTCTTGTGCTGCATTTGGAATGCGCAGGCAGGCTGCATATGCACAGCTCTTAATCACATGATCAGGAGACTTAAAATGGAGAAACTGAACACATTCTAAACTGCTGAATCTAGGTATCTATGGAGATTCTCAGTCATCCAGGTCATAGTTATCCCAAAGATGCTTTTTCATGAGGCAACTGGACTTTCTTGTTTTTCTTTGAAGACATTTTGCTTCTCATCCAAGAAGCTTCTTCAGCTCTAACCGGATGGTGGGGAATGGCAGGATTTATACTCCTTGCAGACAGCTAGTCATTTACATTCTTTTAGCAAGTCGTTAGTGCTACCTGGAGGCTTACTTGTGTTTTCAGGGTCACCTGAGTAGTGCAAATGTGTGTGGAGCCTTCCTGGAACCATTGAAAGGACTGGATGTAGACTGGAAATAGATGATGTCATATCCCTCCCCCTCTGTTGAGAGAGGGCTGTTCAATTTTGACACAATTGCCTCTTTGACCCCTCTTTCAAACCAGCGGTCCTCTCTGTCCAAAATGTGGACTTTGCTGTCTTCAAAAGAGTGGTCTTATCTTTTAAATGCAGATGGACTGCTGAATCTTGTACATATACATTGACTATGAAAAATGTCAAGTAGAAGAGCAAAAACATATTTGACACAAGGAAATGGCATAAATAAAGGGTAGGGACAACTTATATGGGTCCAAATATAGCTACATAAATAGCTTCTACTTCTGCTTCTTTCCAAATGATCTTGAAATAGTGCACCAGGCATAAACACATTTATCAATTTTACACTAGTCAACCCATTCTTTCCACAGAGTATTGTTTGTAAACTTACCAATAAATGGGATGAATGCAAGTGAATCCTCTGGTGTAGCCAAAGGGGCCACACCCCTCTTGTTTTCTTTATTGGCTGCCGGCGCCGGTGGATCACAAATGTCTGTTTCCTTTAAATCGCTGGGGAAGACAAAATTCATCTGTCTTGCAGGAGGAGGCATTTTACGTCCAGTTGGGGGCTTTTGTCGAAGAACCACCTCATCTTTTCTCTCCTCAGCATCAGACTGTAATGGTTCTATAGCTTGAGATGAAGAAATCTGCTCAAAAGATTTCATATCATTCTCCTGTTTAGCTGATCTTTGGTCCATTAGGATCTCTGGGTTGCTGGCCACGAAAGGGTCTGGACAAGTAGAAGGAGCACTTGAAAGCACAGCAGTAGGTAAAGATTTCTCAACATAGGATGGTGTTGAGTGACTCAATTGCCTTTGAGAAATATTAAATGTTGGAAGGTCACCAAAAGTAGCATCGCGGAAAGAAAGAGCATGGAGCAAGCCAGTCCGACGCTGGAATGAAGGGCTGTAGCTTCGGTAGCCAATATAACCAGAGTCATCAATGCTCTGGAGGTTGGGCTGAGAAGGGTGTTTTTGCACATGTATAGAGGGAGGATCTCTGGAAGAGGCAGAAGGAATACGAGTACTTGGATGATTAGGCTGGGCTCGGTTAATTTGCCCATGCTGGTAAAACCTGTCTGATGGCAATATGCACCTCCCATAACTAGGAGAAACCAAGTCAGCCTGTTCAAGAGCTTCCATGGATTGCCCATATTTCATGAGATAGTTATCTGATCTTGCACGGTAACTCCAGTTATCATGAGCTGAAGACTGGATTAAAGTTTCTTGGGAAGCACTATGAGACCATCCTCGGGAGGACGGAACATCTCCCAGATGGTCTTGTGATACACTTCGGTAACGAGGTGGCATAGCACTGCACCGCTCCTCTGAAGAGCTTCGCCGTGGTACTTGACTTGAGATCCAATTGGACAAGGCCTGCTGGCATTCTAGATGGCTAATAGATTTGGGTCCAGCTCGAATGCATTCCCGTGAGGGCCTGCCCTCACGATGCGCATCCTTCAATCCACCATGTGACTGATGATCAGGAAGATGTTTGGGGGGTCCATAACAGCTATGGTTGGGCATAGAGTAAGTTGGAGGAATGTAAGGTGAGGGGGAGGTTACAGAACCTGGACAACTGCTATTGGGGTACTGGGAGAAAGAACCAGAAGCTGGGATATGCCTGGGAATAGGTGCTCGTTGAGTCATTCCATACTGTACTTCCTCTGTACAGTGGGCAGGACTGGAATGGTTGCTAGCAAAATTTTGTTTGGATTCAGTCCAGGCACTTAGATGAGTTTTGTGAACTGCAGTATTATTCAAAGGAGAAGATGGGCCTGAGGACCCTGAATGGTAGGACTGCCTATTATCCACCTGTTGCCCCTGGTAAATTTCAGCTGTTGAAACATCCCGTCTTGACTGAAATGGATAATTTTTACGAGGATAGCATATAGGTGGTGGCTCAGGAATGCTCTGTGCCCCTCCAGAGTATGGTTCATTGCCCTTTAAGTATGCATCTTGAGAATATGCCTGGAAAAAGGAACAATGGAAAAATGGGTGAGGACTGGACTAGAAAACTGAGTTATTGATCAAATCTTTATGTATACAGGTGAATAGGTTACAAATTATATGGAGAATATATTTTAAAATCATGGAGTACTTAAATTATATGACTTTTATTGATATTTCTGTGAATTATCAATTTAAAAAATCAGATTTTGAATTGATCATTTAGGCCATCAAGTTCAAACTCTTGTTCAGAGCAGGAACTGTCTAGTCCCAGTTGAAAGGAAAACTACCTCTCTGCATAAATGATTTCACTCTTGAACAGTTCTTATTATAAATACATTTTTGTAATATTCAATGGAATTTGCCTTCCTTAGATTAAATTGTAAGTTAAATGATATCCCCGCAGAAATAAACATGGTTCCAACCCCAGTGATATTCCAGAGATCTTTAAAAACATGGTTATTCTCCCAGAGGTTCAGGTAGGATGATTTTAGAGCACCATCAGTGATTTGTTAAGTTCCTTTTAATTATTTATCTATTTTACATTGTAAGTTACCCAGAATCATTCTAGACCTGGGAGACCTTTAGATATAATCAATCAATCAATCATGTTCAGCACTCTGAAATAAGTTTTTTGTCCATATAACATTTTAAATATTTGAAGAGTGCTATCACATCCCACCCTCTCAAATAATTTTTTCTCAAGACTAAACATATGAAGTTTCTTCATGGGCTTAGTTTCTAGTTCCTTTATCATCTTTGATGAAAGTATTCAATTTTTCAGAATCCCTTTTAAAGTGTGATATCCAGAACTGGATATAATGCATAAGGCACAGATCTGACAAAAACAAAAACAAGTAGAACACTTAATTTTCCATAATTTGAAAATTATTCTTCATTTAATGAAATCTAATATTTGCATTTGCCTGTTTTGCAATTATATTATAGTGGTGGTTGATGCAAAGTTTACAATCAACTATTATTCCATTTTTCCCACAAGTACCATTAACAGGCTAATTATGCCCAATGCTGTATTTTTCAATTTGGTTTCAATTTTTTGTTTATGAATAATTTTATAGTTGTAAATTTCATAATTATTTTCAGCTTGTTTTCCAAATTACAAGATCAAAATTGCAGTTCTGACTTCTAGTGTATTAGCTTTCCTACCCAATTCTGTATAATTTTTCAGTTTGATAACCATCCCCCACCCCACACCTCTTCACTCAAATCATTAATGAAAATATAGAAGACCTAGGACTAATTCTTATAGCACTCCATTTGTTGAAGAAATATTATTGTGCTTTCTTTGAATAGGATTTTCAAGCTGTCTACACATCCATTTGCCATTCCAACCAACCCACAATTAACCAGCTTGTTAATCAGGATGTCATATTTCAGATGTGGCTGTGTATTCTAGCATTACATACTGCAGTTCAGCAATGGAATACTTTTGGCCTAGCAGTCAGAAATATTTTCCTTAGCAATCCAGATGCCAAGTCAGCAACAGTAAAGGAGCCAGGAATTGCAGTATAAAGGAAAACTACAACTATAGTTTTTAGAGGACAGGTGTGTTAACTGATCATATTTTATTCAAAATTTGTCCCTTTAGCAAAACTAGCAAGCTAATACTAGGGATCTAAGGCAAACCATTTTTGGAAATTAAAAATGGAAGCACTTTAAACTTTTATAATTTGCTGTCTGTGCCTCCTTCTGTACAAAGCATACATCCCACATATGCTGAACTTAATCTTTGAATATCTTTCTTTGTCTTCCTCTAGACCAGTGGTTCTCAACCTTTTTAATGCCGCGACCCCAACCGGTCGTAAGTCGAGGACTAAACCGGTCGTAAGTCGAGGACTAAACCGGTCGTAAGTCGAGGACTACCCAACCGGTTGTAAGTTGAGGACTTTCCCTGCCCGGGAGCGCCGCGCATGTGTGGTTCCGCCCCCTGCGCCAGCCGAGGCGTAGCTGGCAAGCGGCAGAGACGGAGCAGGCCGACCACCAGCTGGCCCAGCCCAAGGGAGGTAAGGCACCCGCCGGAAAAGGGGGAAAAAATGGTGGACAAAAAAATGGCGGACAGCCTTGCTTGGCGACCCCCGTGAAATGGTCGATCGACCCCAAATGGGGTCCCGACCCACAGGTTGAGAACCACTGCTCTAGACCTTCACATTTGTTTGCATCACTATTCTTCAGCTTCGTGATCCTCTTTCCAGTATACCCTATTATCTGCACCTTCCATGAAACCCTCCAGTTTCTAGATAATACGATGCTCCTGCACACTGCCATAGTCACAAATGTTTTCCTTACCACATACTTATAAATTCACCAGATGTTTACACAGCAGTTCAATCAATTTAGGCAGTAAAGGAATTGTTGTTCTTTTAGTTCATATTATTTTAGAACAATGTCAACTTCTCGTTTTTGGCATGCTTGTATGTATGTCAATTTGATCAACAAAACAGAAGCAAAAGTACAATTGTGGGTACAAAAGCATCCAAGAGGATTTTTGAAAACAGCGTAGCTGGTATTCCACTATCTATACTTTACTGGCTTTCTGAGAAGGCAAGAAACATGGTTGTGATTATAGAACTAAGGAAGAACCATGACATTTTTTAAATGTATTATTAAATTGATATGCCACCCATCTCACAGTGTAAGACAACTCAAGATATGTTACTTGCCTATCAGTTCTCTGGCAAGCAAGGTGACAATAAACCCAAGGAATGGGAAATATTAAAGGGGCTGGCCACCAAAAGAGACTTCCCCAGAACTCTCCAAAACAAGGTCCCAATACTCTGAAAAGTGAACCTCTTAACTTTTATTAGAGATGTTAATGTTTAGTGCTGCATGCTCCACCAAAGTAAACATAGCACTGCAGTCTTGTATTTATTTTTCATCTTATTTAAGCATACCATTCTACAAACCTGTTTTAAAGTATTAAAGTCAACTCCCTCTCTCCTTCCTCAACCACCAGATTTCCTATAGTTGGGAGTTTAGGAAAGTTGAAATTAACTTTGGAGATTTGCCAGGGAGTTGCTAGTATTTAAAATCCTTACAGAAATGGATGCTATGTATATACTTTGGAGCAACTTATTATGACCATTAGGTATCGGGATAAGGCTATATCTCTCATTAAAGAGAAAAGGAGAAAACTAAGAAACATATAAATCTTTGAACTTTAGAATGAAAAACAGGCTGACTCATTTCACAACTAACATTCTGCAAGTTGGGAGTCATAGTAGGAAATCCTACATGTGCAAAGAAAAGTAAGTTGCATCATAGTGAAAAATGTCTGGTCAGGTTCACTGAGAGATGACCTGGAACAATACCTGTGTGGCTTCTATTCCACCTCACACATGCCTCTTTTTCCTAACCTACCACTGTGAACCATGAAAAGACCTTTGTTAGATAATAATAAAGTCCGAATAGCATGCTGAGGAGCAAAAAATTCTCAAATGTTCCTGCCCTAGCCATTCTATCACACGCTGGAAACTTGCCCTTGTTCGATGAAACCGCATTTCAGGCCAGGGACTTGTCAAGTTCCAAAAAAGGAGTTATGTTTAAACCAAACTTTGGCTTAAAGAGACCATAAGAATGAAAAGAGAAAAGAAAAGAAAAGAAAAGAAAAAACAAAAGAGAAAATGCTAGTTACTATGCTATATGGTATTTGTTTATTTCTGCCTGGAAGCAGTTCCTGTAAAGTTAATTAAACACTCAACTCCTCTTGCTTAATTCTGAAGCAGGATAACAAGTCCATGAAAATATATACACACTCTATTTTACATGCTGCTCAGAAGTGGCAAGGCTTCTCCTTAAATCCAAATTCTGCCTTTTTGTCTGTCAGGAAAGTCACCCTAGATCTGGGCAAGATATGGCCCAATATAAATAGCACAATGTTTATTCTTATGAGGATGAAATGCTTAGAATTTAAAATCGTTACCTTTGTCTTCTCTGTTGTTTTATTTCTAGTCTTGTATTTTTGTGCGCATTCTCGATCTCCCTTCTTCAAAAAGAGAAATGTTCCCTTCCCCTGGAAATCTCTAACGCCCAAGCTAATATTTCTTCTCTTTCTCAATCTTCCTTTTAAATGTTGCTTTCAGGGAAAAAAATGACATAAACTAGGACGCCTCAGTGTGGGAGGGGTGAAGAGAGCCAAGAATGTCTTTTCATGCATCCTGTCAAGAGTAACTCTGTAACCCCAGGCTCTCTCATTGGCTGGCTAAGCCGGCTTCCGCACCACAGGAATGCCGACACACCCCTGTGAGGCACCAGGACAGGGGGAAACCCATACAAAGGTTCCTTTGCTGTGAGATGTATAAAAGCAAAAGCAACTTGGGGTAACAGGGCCTTGCACAGACCTAGAGTTACTGCATCTCTGGCTGTAAACCCTTCTGCCAATGTTTAATTGTAGGCAGAGTAATACTCGATACAATTCCAAAATGCCTTTTTTTGAATTTTTGAATTGAAGAGAAAAAAGAATAAAATAACAAGGAGGTGAAAAATAAAGCCAAAGAAATAGCAAAAAAGGGGGAAAAAAGATCACCAAAAGTTCCTGCTGTTTTTTTTGCAATTAACACAATATACATCTTCAAGGCTCTGAAACAGGAATGGGGAATCTGTCACTCTTCCAATATTGCTCAGCTCTAACTCCTAGGAGCCATGGTCAATTGGTCCAATTTTAAGAGATGTTAATACTTCTATGGCAGCAACATCTGAAGCCAGGCAGCTTCACCAAGCAAACATAAGGCTCTACTTTAACCCCCTGACTTTAATACCACCTCATTTAGAATTGTAGTCATGGAGAACCCAAAGCTTTTACATCCTTTTAAAGCCCCAATAAAAATGGGTTTTGTTGTTTGCTCATTTTTTTTTAAAAAAAAATCATGGACATGGTACAGTGTTTTCTTTGTTTGTTCTTATGCTCTGTGTATCTGATCTTAGCTACCTGAGATATTCATTCAATTTGTAAATCCCTTAGTTGTCTTCATGTTATTTATAACCTTGAAAGAATGAGTCTTTTGGCATTTTCAGTTTGTTGAAGAGGAAATGCTTTTGGCGCTCACAAGGAAACATGAGCAAGATAGTTGTCACTGAGTCTAGGTCAGTGGTTCTCAACCTTTTTAATGCCGCGACCCCCAACCGGTCGTAAGTTGAGGACTAAACCGGTCGTAAGTCGAGGACTAAACCGGTCGTAAGTCGAGGACTAAACCGGTCGTAAGTTGAGGACTACCCAACCGGTCGTAAGTTGAGGACTTTCCCTGCCCAGGAGCACCGCGCATGCGTGGTTCCGCCCCTTGCGCCGGCCGAGGCATAGCTGGCAAGCGGCAGAGACGGAGCAGGCCGACCACCAGCTGGCCCAGCCCAAGGGAGGTAAGGCACCCGCCGGAAAAGGGGGAAAAATGGCGGACAGCCTTGCTTGGCGACCCCCATGAAATGGTCGATCGACCCCAAATGGGGTCGCGACCCATAGGTTGAGAACCGCTGGTCTAGATGTATAACATGAAAACAATAGTTCCCTCTGCAAAAAGAAAATCATGTTGTAAGCACAAAATCAATCCTGATGAAGATGTTGTGAAGATGGAAGATGTCTATGGAATAAAGTATAGCATAATTTCGAGAATGAAAGCCCAGAGAAAAGATTCTATTTTCTCATTACTTGCAGTCGAAAATATTATCTCCAATAAACCTTAGCTGAAATTAAAAACTATAGGCAATGTTACAAAATGCATACATGCATACAGTGAGGGGGAAAATATTTGATCCCCTGCTGATTTTGTATGTTTGCCCACTGAAAAAGAAATGATCGATCTATAATTGTAATGGTAGGTTTATTTTAACAAAGAGAGACAGAATAACAACAACAAAAATCCAGAAAAACACATTTCAAAAAAGTTATAAATTGATTTGTATTTTAACGAGTGAAATAAGTATTTAAATGCTTCGCAAAATAGGACGTAGTACTTAGTGGCAAAACCCTTGTTGGCAATCACAGAGGTCAGACATTTCTTGTAGTTGGCCACCAGGTTTGCACACATCTCAGGAGGGATTTTGTCCCACTCCTCTTTGCAGATCCTCTCCAAGTCATGAAGGTTTTGAGTCTGACATTTGGCAGCTTGAACCTTCAGCTGCTTCCACAGATTTTCTATGGGATTAAGGTCTGGAGACTGGCTAGGCCACTTTGCTGGAATACCCATCCACGACCCATTTTCAATGCTCTGGCTGAGGAAAGGAGATTCTCACCCAAGATTTGACAGTACATGGCTCTGTCTATCGGTGAAGTTGTCCTATCCCTTTAGCAGAAAAATGCCCCCAAAGCATAATGTTTCCACCTCCATGTTTGACGGTAGGGATGGTGTTCTTGGGGTCCTAGGCAGCATTCCTCCTCCTCCAAACACGGCGAGTTGAGTTGATGCCAAAGAGCTCGATTTTGGTCTCATGAGACCACAATACTTTCACCCAGTTCTCCTCTGAATCATTTAGATGTTCATTGGCAAATTTCAGACAGGCCTGTACATGTGCTTTCTTGAGCAGGGGGACCTTGAGGGCACTGCAGGATTTCAGTCCTTCATGGTGTAGTGTGTTACCAATTGTTTTCTTGGTGACTAAGGTTCCAGCTGCCTTGAGATCATTGACAAGATCCCCCCTGTAGTTCTGGGCTGATTCCTCACTGTTCTCATGATCACTGAAACTCCATGAGGTGAGATCTTGGATGGAGTCCCAGACCAAGGGAGATTGACAGCTATTTTATGTTTCTTCCATTTGCGAATAATCGCACCAACTGTTGTCACCTTCTCACCAAGCTGCTTGGCGATAGTCTTGTAGCCCATTCCAGCCTTGCGCAGGTCTACAATCTTGTCCCTAACATCCTTGAACAGCTCTTTGGTCTTAACCATGGTGGAGAGTTTGGAAGCTAATTGATTGATTGCTTCCGTGGACAGGTATCTTTTATATAGGTAACAAGCTGAGATTAGGAGCACTCCCTTTAAGAGAGTGCTCTAATCTCAGCTCGTTATCTGTATAAAAAAACCTGGCAGCCAGAAATCTTGCTGATTGATAGGGGATCAAATACTTATTGTACTCATTAAAATGCAAATCAATTTATAACTTTTTTGAAATGCGTTTTTCTGGATTTTTTTGTTATTATTCTGTCTCTCGTTGGTAAAATAAACCTACCATCACAATTACAATTTACCATTACCATTACAGACTAATCATTTCTTTGTCAGTTGGCAAAAGTACAAAATCAGCACGGGATCAAATAATTTTTTCCCTCACCATATATATGAAAACACAAACATCTTCTGGTGAGAATGGAAGATCAGCTTCATTTTAAAAGTCACACGAGGAAAACCTTGAACATTGGGAAGGAATATAACTACAAGGCGGATTGTTCACAAATACCAAGGACACTGCTTTTACCTTGCTAAATGATGTATTCTTATTCAACACCCCTCCCTAAAACAAGACATTAATTATAATATTGGAGTGGAATCTGCCTATATTATTTATACTATATACTATACTGTACAAATAATACTCTACTTGTACTATATTCTGGCTGTTGCAATCTAATTTTTGACCCAACTATGTATCGTACATAGAAACCAGATTTTTTTTTAACGGTTTCAGAAATAAGAAATTCAGAACATAGAATTAGTGGAGAATGATAAACAAGGCTGTTTAAGCCCTCCTTCTTTATTCTGAACATTCACTATAGAAGGCTTTCATGTGCCATTCTTTGTCCCCGAATGCCTCATCCCTGAAGGTTCTCTTCCATTCAAATCAATAGACACCTATGCGTTAGTGTGTGTTTTTGTGTATTTGTGTATGTTTGTATGAGTATATACATATGTACTGTATGCATAAATATAGTTAAACCCTCAAAAAATACTTGGTGAAAATATCCTCAAGCCCAACCTGCTCTCCAGTCAACACTCAGGAGAATATCTCTTGGCCCTGGCAAACAACTCACCAGTTGCAGAATATCCTCATCTTTTGGCATAATGGTGAGTTCCAAAGCATCTTCACTGCAGAAGAGAGAAGGCATTTTTAGAAAGATTAATGATGAATAGGAATTTTGTACCACACTGCACTGTAACAAAGCTTAAGCAGGCTGTGCTCAAAGGCAGACATTAGATCTTACAACTAGATTCCAAATTGGCAAAGTTGCCACAACATATTTATGTTCTGTTTGATGGACTCCCACTAGCATTCCTAACTTGGTGTCCTCCGAATATGTGATATTATGCTCTCCCCTTTATCCTTAGCATATTATCATTTTGGCCATACTGATGGAGAAGAATCTAAGAATCTAATACATCCAGCAGATCCCAGTTTAGAAAGATTGGATAACCTTTAAAAGCCCCCATGCAAAAACACACAAGATTGCTAAATTCAGAGTCTAGAATTATCTAAGGGCACTATTGTTCTCCACGTACACTGACTCTTGAGTACACAATTACATTTCTTTTGCCCAAACCAATACCAGTATACTATGGTTATGAAACATGATATACTGTAATACACAACTGAGTTCTCAGGACTATTATGATAAGAAAAAAAACTATGTAGTAATTTCATTTGTCTTACCTTTATGATTCTCAATAAAGTGATCCCTCATTGGCTTAACATGAGACACAAGCTATATATTATCAGAAGATATTAAAGAAAAAAACCTACAAGAATGGGGAAACTATGGCAACCAGCAGATGATGAACTACCATTCCTACCATCCTTCACAATAGGCTAAGCTGGGTGTGGAACTGCTTGGAGCTGCAGTTGAGCTACATCCGGAGAAATATAGATTCCTCACCTCTGCTCTAAAATAAATTCCATTTAATGAAAACAAATTTTGAATGAAGGAGAAAGGATGGAGAGAAGGAAATGCTTATTTTTTTCTGTGTATAATATTTATTTAGACCTGATACTAATATTGCTCTTCCATTATTTGGGTTTCAGATACTTTTAATTAAAGGGGTCAGCAATCTTTCCAGAAAATGAATACCTTCAGTCAATTTTGCCTAAGCACCTTTTTAATGTAAATTATAGGGCAAAAATCGCATGAGATCCTACATAAGAACATAGGGTTCTCCCTAAAGATAGCTTTTTCATAAGATCCCACTTTCCTCCATCTTTTTGGCAAACTAATTGCATTGCAACATTTTTTGTGTGTAGCCTATCTGAACCCAATCTTAATTATTAATACAAATGAGAAACTTTTTTCTCAAAAAGAAAAGACTAATTAAAACATCAGAAGTTAAATGTACCAGGAGAATCCCAATGCGATATGATACTTTATTGATTAGTCAATTGACCATATCAAACATGAGCATCAACCACAGTAAGATATAATAAAATGAAAAAAGATTACAGTGAAGTAATTTAAAATAGCTACAGTGAGATAAAATAGAATAAAATCTAATAGCTAAAATAAAGATAAAAGATAAGATAAAATAGTATAAGGCAATATAGAAGAGAACTTTAATAAGTCAATTGACTATATAAAATATATAAAACTGATTTAAAAATGCAAATACGTAAAAAGAAAACAAAACTTTATAATAGATAATCATCCCTACAATTAAACCCAATCTGATCAAGATATTCTGTCTTCTTTGAGATGGCCTTTGAAATAAAGATTACTGATAATGTGCAGGTTAGTTCCCTAAAATAAACAAGACTGCTTTCTCCCAGGTACCCCCCAATATTTTTTAGTTTTTAAATTAAGGATCTAAATAAGCAGCCCTTTCTCAAGAGTACAATTTACTGTCAACAAAAATGTGTCCAGTGTCTTCAATTGGTGGTGCTTCACAAATGCACAATCTTTCTTCAATTGAGACTCCATGAAAACTCCCTTATCTTACCATGAAGTCCAGTCAAGTCGAACTCTAGAAAAAGGACTTCTGGGATGTTGAGGCACGTAATTGGTGTTGAGCCAGCCACTTAAAAACTTGACACATTTCAGTACTGCAATATCATCTTGAGCAGCCACATTAATAACTCTTGAAAGCTTCCTTGCCTTTAGATCTGATTGGACTGGGAACTGGATGGAGAAACCATATTCAGAGATGACATTTGAAAGTTGGTGGCCCAAGTGTGAAGTTGCTTGTTGTGTAATTGTTCTTCAAAGCACAACTTGAATAGTCTATCTGGGTCCATGAATAAGATCTTCAGCCAGTAATTAAATACCTTAATTACTAAATGGCTTTGTATGGAGGTATGCCCAATTCTGCCTTTCTGCTGGGGCTGATGTAGACCTATAGACCAAAATACTTTTCAGAAAAATAAATTGTATCTGTTGCAGTAAGGAGGCATTTATATATCCCCACAGTTCTGCCACCATATGGGATCGTTGAGACTATTTTGCTCCTATGTTCCTTTATGATTAGAATTAGATAACCTGGGTAGCTTTGGTTGGCAAGCTGCCTTATGACACTGGCATAGGCTGTAGCCCTTAAAGAACTCCTCTTAAAATATGGGAGACAACCTGTTTCTGTGAAAACAAGTCCTAAGTTTAGATGTTCCCTATCTAGCTCCAATTATATCTGGTCCTCCTCTTTATGACTACTTTAGTTTTTGACTCATTGATGTTCAGATAGTTGAGTGCACAGTATGTACTAAATTGCACAGCAGTCTTCTCAACCCCACCTTGGTGTGTGACATCAATAACATGTCATCTGCATAAAGCAGAATGTTTACATGTTTATTTTTAACATTAGGCATATACATATCAGTAGAATGAAGGAACTTTAGGATGTCATTAATATTCAGGTTAAAAAGAATGGGAGCAAGTATACACTCTTGTCTGACTCTTTGTTGGTGCTAATTTTTCCTGTAGGAAACCATGCGTTCCTATGAGCATACTGCAATCAGACCAAAAATTGTACAGAAACTCAGGTAGATCACATAGTTTGTTTTTCCATTCTTCTACATTCCATGTTAATATAGAAGCACCAGCTATGATTTCACATTGTTGTGTATATAACAATGCCAAATCCAGCCTATGCATCAGGCTGACTGATGAACCATAATAATAATTTTAATAGAGAAGTATTTATTTTAATATGTTTACTCAGGGGCAAAATGCAAGATTATTTAGCCAATTTCACATTATAGGCATATGAAATTTTTATGACTTTTAGTGGTGGTCTTAAGTTGCTTCATAACATAGGAATCAGTATTGACTAAGAAAATGATTAAGTATATGTGGAGCAAGTATATTTACAAAGTGTTTTCAAAGCCTGGTCTGTCCATCCCTCAAAGGGGGCTGTACTGCCTTCTAGAAAGTGTCTCCAGGTGAGGACAGCTCACTGCACATAAGCTTCCTTTTCCCAGACTGCCCATTTGCACTCCAATGTTTTCTAGAGGCATAAGCACATTGCTACAAAGTCCCTTAGTTGCTTTTCTGGAGAAGACAGCCCCAACTGCCACATCGCTAGCATCAGCTTGCATTTGGTTCTGGGTATTTTAGCATAGGCTAAACTGCAAATAGGCGTTCAAGTTTTTCCAAAGCCACTTGGCACTCCATTGTCCATTTGAGGGACTGGCTCAGCTTAGGTTTTTTCCAGATCCCTTAGTCTTTAGGGGGTTAGTAATAAGGAACGCTATTTGGGTGAATGAGGGGATGAATTGCCAACAGAAGTGAGCAAATTCCAGAAAGCTTTGAAGCTGTTCTATTCTATTACTGCTCGCACCTTTTCAGGATCCATCTCCACCCCTTTGTGGGCAATGTGGTATCCCAAATAGCTGATCTTATCCTTGTGGAACTCGCACTTGGAGAGTTTTGCGTATAATTGACATAGATGTTTTTTCAGTACTGCTCTGACCGGCTTCACATGTTCTTTCATAGTTTCAGTGTAAATCAAAATATCAGCTAAATAAACTAGGACTCATTTGTACAAATGTTCATGCAGAACTTCATTAATTAATTGCATGAAGACTGCAGGTGTCCCTTGTAGCCCAAAAGGCAACATTCAGAATTGGAAGTACTCTAAGGGGCAATTGAAGGCTATTTTCCACTCATTTCCTCCTTTCATGCATACTCAGAATGTGCTTCCCTGAGGTCTAATTTTGTGAAGATCTTCCTTTTGGCTAGATGGGAGAGCATGTTTTTCATCAATGGCAAAGGGGAGATGTTTTCAACGCAAATGGAGTTTAGCCGCAGTAATCCACACATAGGCGAAGGGGCCTGTCTTTTTTCTTGTGAAATAGTATATGTGTGCCATATAGGATTTTGCTGTGCTACATTCTTATCTATAAAGGATAGGAGTTTGTCTAATTCCCTTGGGTCATAGAATATAATTTTGGCTTGGGTAATTTTGCTCCTGGCAATATCTCTATGGAAAGTCTGTGGGGCAGTGGGGGTGGGGATGGGGGTAATATGTCTGAATCCCGCTCATTGAATATTTCTCACAAGTCCCGGTACACTTTGGGGATCAAAGGGGCTGCCTTTTCCTGTTCATGCGCCTTTTTTTTTTAGAAAAGCAGCTTTTAATTCCTTTAACATATCCCTGCTCCTCCTTGTAAGTGCAGTTTAAAGATTCTACTTAATCTTGAGCATGTTGAAGTTGCCCAGATTACAGCTTCTCCCTTGATTGTCATCTGGATTATCTCCTTAACCAGAATGCAGTCAGAATCCTCTGAATGTCCTGGAGGTCTGTGTATGATTTTTTTTCTTAACAGCAACCTTAATATTGTTAACAACACAGTATCTCTAAAAAAAAGGCATACTAACACACTGATCTCTGGGACAGAAAATTTTATTAAGCACTAAGCTTTCGTTAGCTTCCTGCTAACATTGTCAAAGTGTAAGCTAACATTAGGAAGGCTTTGTTTTTATAGCCCTTTAAGTGTCTGTAATTTGGCCATTGAGCGCATACGTCTGTCCGTCCGCCGCTCACGTGTGTGTGAGTGTGTCGATCTCAATCCGGTTGCATTGGCTGGCATCTGCCCCGCTCTCGCCGCCCCGCCTCCTGCTGCTTGTCTCTCTGGCAGATTGCACCTGTCATGCAGTGTTGGGCTTTCCAAT